TGAATATTATTGTAAAAACTCAGAATGCACAAAATGATGATAAAACCACTGTGAACGTTCCCCATGCACTTTCTGGTTGCTTAAGACACAACTCAGAGAGCCTCCCTTGTACCTTGAAAGAAGCCCCCAAAATTGCAGCAGCAATTTTCTTGGAGAAAGCCGCTTGCAAGTGACCTCTGCAGAACAGTTACTCAGCTCAATATGCTTCCATGTATTGTGTGTTTCCTCCATGGGTCCCTGGATTACAGCCCATATGCTTCTGTTTCTTCTAATGTTAGAAAATATCTTCCATTTTCTATGATATATTCTTTGGGGGTGTGGGCTTTGCCTGTTGGACCACAGGTCTTTCATCATTGGGCGTGTTGTTGTTATTACCTGCAGTCAAGCTGTCTCCAACTTCTGGTAGCCCTTATGAAGGAAACCCCCCTGAAACGTCCTGTCCTTGATAACCCTGCTCAGATCATGTATACTCAAGGCTGTGGCTATCTTTGTGGAACTCATCCATCGCCTATATGGTCTCCTTGTTCTTCTTCCGCCTTTGACCTTCCCTATCATTATTGTCTTCTCCACCGTGTCTTGCCTTCTCATAATGTGCCTGTAGTATGAGAACCTCAGTTTAGTCATTTTTGCCTCTAAGGAAAACTCTGAATTGAGTTGATCTATGGCCCACTTGTTTGTCTTTCTGTCACTCTGGGATATTTGCAAAGCTCTCCTCCAACACCATGTTTTGAACACATCAATTTTTCCTGTCAGCTTTCTTCACTGTCCAGCTTTCTCACACATACATTGTGATCAGGAATACAGTCATGTGAATAATTGTGGCCTTGGTCTCCAGTGAAATATCCTCACACTTGATTGATGTTTTCTTGTTTCTTCACTGGTTTCCTTCCAAGCCTCAGTAGTCTTTGATTTCTTGGCTGCAGCCTCCATTTGAAGTGTTGACTGAGCCAAGTTATGCAAAACCATTCACAATTTCAATTTCTTCAGTGTTGGCATTAAACCTGTGTAATCTTTCTGTAACCATGATTTTGCTTTCTCTGTGTTCAGCTTCATTCCTATTTTTGTACTTTCACATTCACTGCGAGTTGTTTCAATTCAGTGCAAATTAAGTAAAATAATAAGAAGAACAGCATTGAAACTATGCAAAGGCGTTTGCAAAGTGCTGAAAAAAAAACCTGAATAGGAATCTTTCTTTGTGTGGAATAAGCTCTATTTCATTTCAGACAAAAACAGATTATCTAGCTAAGAATAACAAATGCATAATACATCAAAAGCATAAGTGCAGTGCATGCTATTTGACAAGTGTTCCTCCACCCCAGTCGGATAAAATTTTATCCAAGTTTGAGCAAAATCATTCTGTTTCTTTTGGTGTACTTGTATATGTTCAGTTAATTATGCCATTTTCATAATTTCTTCCTTACCTGTTCTGATGATTTGAGTTTTGCTGATAAATTCCAGTCTCTTGGGAAGCACTTTAGTGTTGCCTCCAGAAGGAATGACCCCATGGTCCCTACATATTGTCCGAGGGGTGTGGGGGCAGGGGTGGAATAGAACTGTCTGATTCCCAGGTTTGGCTTCAGAGTTCTGACTCCCCTCCCCTGCCCCCTCACACCTGTGGCGTCCAGAGAGTGGCCTCAGAGAGATCCTAAAGGGGGTGGTTAGGTGGTGGGGTGTGGAGAAGGTTAGGGTTAGGGCTCAGCCTCCTCCTTTCCCCATCCCAAAGCTCCCAGCTAGATGGCCAAAGATGTCCCTCTAGAAAAAATGCCAAGTGGAGGAGCAGGGAGGTAACAATCACCTTGGCCACTCCTCCGGCTCATAATCTGTGTCAGGGGGCTTACAAGGATCCAGACTGCATGCTGGGGGCACACTTTTTCCACTGGTCAATGCAGCCCACTCCAAATATCTAAACAAGACCAATGCCCTTCATTTTTTCAGTGTGTATATTAATACTTTTTCAGCATTTCCTCAATTATTTGCATGTCTGTCAGTCAAATATGAAAATAGGTGCTCTCTTCTGGTTGCTCTTCCAATTTTTTTTGGCTACAAGAACTAGACATTCTATGAAAAAGAACTGGAATTGACAGTTACTAACTCATTAATTTAAAACAGTTCTCTCATTTTTGAACACAAAGAAAAGTGATTATTATATGGACAGACAGGAACTTTTGGATGTGAAAATGAGCAATGAGAGAAGCAATTTTTTATTGTCCCAGCATGCACCAGCATGAAATCCTTTAGCCTCATACTGTGCTACATATTGGTGAACCAATTTGCAGGGTCTACACAATCCCTACACAATCTCCTACACAATTTGGAGACTCCCCTAGCACAATCCTCTGTATGCTTACCTGAGAATAAGCTCTGTTGCACGAAAGATTATGCTGTTGATTTTTTTAAAGTAAAGCATTCCAGCAAAGCAAGCCAAGACACATTAATTAAGTGGTGAAAGAATTTAGACACATGTGCACATACAAGGAAAATAAAACGGAACCAGCTCTTTTCTTATCTAATCAGGAGGACTCCTTTCATTCTTCAAATGGGATGACGCATTCATGATAACAAATAGTTTTATCCAGCTGTATATGCTGCTCTTTTGTTCATCTCTGTGAGCTTACCCTAGAAAATTGTTAGAGGCTCGAGAATAGGCAAGCCAGCACGTTCCTTTGATTCATGGCTTTCATCCAGAAACAACCTGGGACTTTGATCTCTTAAATGGACATGTCCATCTTGCCCTCCCTCTGAACACCTGGGGCAGCCTTCCAAAGCTGGTGCCTTCCAGATGTTTTGGACTTTTAACTCCCATCTGCCTAAGCCAGGAATGTTATGAACTGACATCCAAAACATGTGGAAGGTACCAGGTTGGAGAAAGCTCAGCTGAGAGCTACATACACGGATCCCCTTTGCTTTACCCTCACATCCAAGGTTAGGCTGGGAAAAAGTGATGGATTCAAGATGACCCAATGGGCTCCATGGTGGAGGAACTGGTTGAAGCTCAGCCTCTTCTTAAGTAATCCAGTGCTATGACCTCCACATTGCATGGGCTACAAACCTAATTATATATTACATTCAGACAGTGTGATTAACGCTGCCATTTCCACTTTAATCTGCATTGAGTCCTCATGCTAGTTTTGCCAGAAACTCTCCTCTCCAACACTGCTGTTTGCCCCCAAAGTTGCTATTTGCAGTAAAAAGCATTATCAGAGGCAGGTTGATTCTACATTTTCAACAAGAAAGCACTGAGGGGCCTTGGATCTGGAGTACAGTAAAGGATCAGGCCTCACAGATGTTTTTCTTTTCAAAAGACAGGTGCAATGTTAAGCACACTTTTTAAAAAAGTCCAATTATTGTGACACAAAGTTTGACTTTAAGATACCTTAAAAGTGATCTTGAGTAACACATTCAAATTCTTCCAGAGTTCTGTGAATCTGACCTGCAAATTCTGTATCAGATCTGTTTTTTGGAGTCACTTGATTCTACGAATTTGTGAGCCAGTTTTTCTCTGGGGGTCGGGGTGCAATCATTTGCATTAACTAATGCAATTAGTGCCTCTGCACAAGTGTACATGCACTCCTGTGGATTAGCACTAATGCGATTAACACAAGAACAAAATACTGGTAAAGAAATCTGATTCCTTGAAGAAGTAACCAACGGAACATAAGAAGCCTGGCAGCCCAAGAAACGCAGATGGAACTGATTCAACAAAAAATTATACATCCCCATTGTGGTGCTCTTCCAAATATTCATGGACTATTATTTGCTCCGATATGCAAGGGCACATCCTGAGCAGATTGGTGTAAACTCACTCAGATTAATACATATGTATAAAGTTTATTAGCATTTGCTCAAGAACCCACACTTGCACGAACTAGACAGCAATTTCTTGATGACCCCAGTAGAATGCTTAGCTAAAAGCAACCCTCTGGTCTAAGCAAAACAGCTAGTCACTTTGGATGAGGTTCTTTGTAAAAGCTGGGACAGCTAGTTGCAAATCTGCTTTGTTTTGTTTAAACAGGATTATATTGAAACCATGGAACTAAGCCATACATATGTTTTCCTACGTTGATTCCCTGGGATTTGTTCACAGCTAATTGGAGCTTCATGAGGGCCTTTCAGTTTCATGGAAAAAGATGAAGTTATAAAAGCAAGATCTCTTAGGATGCAATCCTATGCACACTGGGAAATGTCAGGCTTTTCACTGTCAAAACAGGCATAGTTGCATCCTTTGAGAACAGTCTATGGTTCTTAGTGTGCGTTAGTCATAGGACTAATCAGAAAAATCCCTCTAGCGTCTAAGTCAAAGCTTAGGGCTTGGTATGGGTTTCACAACATTGGAGCCCCCTTTCTACCTCAGCCCAGCCACAGTAGTGGCTGCCATGGGGGCTCACATCCAAGGTCAGAGCTTGAGCCTCATTGTGTGGATCTGCAGTAATGGGTATGTCATGGGGAGTTGGTGGGTAGTGAGAGAGGTTCTGAAGGAACCTAAGTCCTCTAGGATCCCAATCATGCCCTCAAAAGAAATCCTAAGCCCTCTAGAACCTTAATCAGGCCCCAAACATGGAGGACTTCAGAATTTAGATCAGCTCAAGAAATCCCCATTGTTTGGTGAAACCAGTGGGAAAACTAGACAAAACAATGGCTTCAGCATTGTTGGAATGTCTGCATGGTGGGAGACGTTGAGACTGGAACACTCTGTTGTTTGGGCTCCTGCTCCAAGGAACTGTTTCTGTTAAAATGCTTTTATAGAGAGAGACAGTGTGGTGTAGTGGTTAAGAGCACAGATCTGGGACTCAGGTGATCTGGGTTCTAGTCCCTGCTTAGCCATGGAGTCAACTGGGTGGCTTTGGGCCAGTCACAGACTCTTAGCCCAACTTATCTCACAGGGTTGTTGCTGTAGGGATAAGATTGAAAGAAAGAGGAGGAGAATGATGTAAGCCACTTTGAGTTCTTTGTAAGAAAAAAGCTGGATAGAAATCTAAAAAATATACATAAATAGAACTATACGTATTGTATGTGTGTGTTTTAATGAATTGGACTACAAAAGTGTCATTTCCCAACATTAATCACCTTAACTATGGGAATGGTCCAGCCCCCGTGAAGCACAATGATCTTTTAATTATTTCAACAGAATACCTATGCGACAAAAGTGCAGGTGAAGTTCAGTATGCCGGAGTTGAAAACTCCTGATACAGTTTTTTACACTTGGCTCTGTGGATAGCAGCTATTCCATGCTGGATTGCACTTACTTAGAAGTTATTTCAGTTGTGCTGCTTTGGAACAAGTTGCAACAACTGCAGATGTTAGGATTTATAGCTCTGCGTAGAAAAAATAAAAACATTCAAGCACCAGATTCCCTATTACTACCATTATAATTTTTGGTGGTAATTATAACTTTTTCACTGCATCTTTTCCCCATTTTATGAGAATGGCAGATTTAACATGTATAAAGCCATGGGTGCAGTCTGAAAATGCCTTCAGGACAATAATATGAATATACCGTTTTTTTCTCCTAGAGTGAGCTCTAGAAAAGCTCGTTTCTGTAGTTCGATTCATTTTTCAAATGGGGAAACCCTGGCTGCTCTTGTCTTCCACAAGGGTTACCACATGATAACTTCTGCTAGGGCTTAATTGAAATGCAGGAAGCCAAGGAGGCTGCAGTCCATGGGATAAATGATAGGACAATGGAACATAGAAAACACACACACACTCTCTTGGGCCACTATATAACTAAGGATTATAACAAGAGCCCAGAACCTCACCTCTGAGAATGTTTCCAAATGTTCTTTCTTTTTAAATCAATGTATTCTTCATCATGGGTCATAAAGAAGGCTGATGGCTGAAGAATTGACACCTTTGAATTGTGGTGCTGGAGAAGACTCCTGAGAGTCCTTTGGACCACAAAGAGATCAAACCAGTCAATCTTAAAGAAAATCAACCCTGACTGCTCTTTAGAAGGACAGACACTGAAGCTGAAGCTCAAATACTTTGGCCACCTAATGAGGAGGAAGGAGTCACTGGTTAAGACCCTGCTGCTGGGAATGATTGACAGCAAAATAAGAAGGGGATGGCAGAGGATGAGGTGATTAGGGGCAGTGGCTGAGGCTTGGGTGGACTCCAAGGGATGGTGGAGAACAGGAGAGCCTGGAGGAATGTTGCCCATGGGGTTGTGATGGGTTGGGCACAACTTTGTGACTTAACAACAAAAAGAATTCTTCCTAAAATGCAAACAAAGGGACAGGAGAAAGAAGTGGAAGACTTTTCTGGCAGTCAAAACCAAGAGTGCAGTCCTGGGCATGTTTAGGCAGAAGAAAGTACTGCAATTCCCAGCATGCACCAACCAGCCATGTAGGTGCTTCCTGTTTTAACATGGACAGAACTGCACCCCAAGGGCCAGAACAAGCATTCCTTGAAAACTGTGTTTAACAGTTCCATCTCCCCTACCCTGCCCACTTTCTAGTTTTATTTTATGCATAGAGCCTTGATCTGAATTGGCCCTATCATGGGTGGTAAGGGGGCTTTTAGGATCCAGGTTGGTGCCCTTCCACCTACTTTACAGTCAAAATAATAAATAAACAGTGGCGGCTAGTGCATTGATTTAAAACAATGTACAGAGAACAATGATTTTCTGTACAGGGGCTGTCCCTCCACTCTTCTTGTAGCAGAACTGCAGGAGCGATGCAAAGTAACCTGGCACTTCTGCGGCCCCTTTGTGGACCACTCTTAGAATGCTCTTACCATTGTCTGTGCTGGAGACAATCAGGGAATCTGCAGACTAAGCACCAGAACACAAGGTGCTGGAGTACTTGACACAATGAGGTCAAGTAAAAAGGTAAAGGTAAAGGTTTCCCCTTGACATGAAGTCCAGTCATGGCTGACTCTAGGGGGTGGTGCTCATCTCCGTTTCCTGGCCGAGGAGCCAGCATTCGTCCGCAGACTGTTTCCGTGGTCATGTGGCCGGCATGACTAAACTCCGAAGTGCAAGGAACGCTGTTACCTTCCCACCGAAGTGGTACCTTTTCATCTACTTGCATTTGCATGCTTTCGAACTGCATGGTTGGCAGGAGCTGGGACGGAGTACAGGAGCTTACCCTGTTGTGCAGATTGAAACTGGCGACCTTTCGATCAGCCAGTGGTTTAAACCACCGCGCCACCTGCAGTCCCTGAGGTCAAGTATTCCTGTGCAAAAATGCTTACTTAGTTGTCTGCTATATGCGCAGATGTGGTTTCCTTTGCATGGCTGGTAACACACTTCCTAGACTCAAGATATCCAAAATGCCTCAATGTACAGATGTGGTTTTCTTCTACATACGCTTTACATTTCAGATATCCAAAATGTCTCAGGGGCCTCATTCTCCAAACAAGTGATCCATTGCCATTACTGTTTTGTGTGCTTCACATCACCAGGAGAAACTCTTGCTGGTGTTCCTTTGCCTTCAAAAGAGGAGGAGTGAAGGCACCATTAGTCAGAAGAAAAGGACAGTTGTGGATTCTTTCAGACAATAATCCTAGTAGTACCCATCAAAAAGGACCATGTACCCTTTCTTTCATTTCCTCCTTTTTTCTGGAAGGAAAACAAAGAGCTGAAAGATGAAATAGCAAACAATATGAAAGTTACAAGGGAAAACATCACAGTCTAAACCTTTCATAAAACTCTGGGAAGAAGGCCAGGCCATTACAGGATAAAAGCCTCACCTGGAAGGACCCAGGAAGTCTCAAAGGTAGAAAATTAATGGTTCAGTGCATTAAAAAAAAACCTTCAGGGCTCATGGCACTTAAAAAAAAATTCTTTGGCACTGAGGTGTCCAATACTGTGTCCTCTACCATGCCAGTAGCCATTTCCTTTTCGTTTCCATATGCTGGTTAGGCTACCTATTGAAATGAGTGGGAAACCTTTTTCTTCTCCCCTAGAGACTTCTGTTTGAAATGCTGCACCTTTCAGAGAGACCATCTGGTTCCTGGAAAATAAATAGCGAGCCTTCCCAGAGTTATCGAACAAATAACTTGGGCTCCTGAGCTTGCTGAGAAAACAATTTATTTGTGTTTCCCAAAAGGAGTTCTGTGCTTGAAGGCTGTCCATTCTGCAAACCTTTTGACAATAAAGCCATGAAGGCAGTCCATTTGCTTTTGCATCCTTGTTTTGAGCTCCACAAGCAATCTTTGCTTGGTCCATACTGAGGATGCAACCTAGCCTGGTCCAAGACTGAGGATGCAACCTAGCCTGGTCCATGATATTCTGGTACCATAAGGAAGGGCAAGAAGCCCTCCTCCCCAATTCCATGGACTGGCTTTGACAGGACTGACCATTGAATCTTATTATTCTGGTATCAGAAGCAGGATGCCCATGTGTACCAGTTGCTGGGGAACTTGGGCAGGAGCGTGTGCTATTTGCATATGCTGCTTGCAGGATCCTATGGGCAGCTGGTTGGCCACCAGGTGACCAGAAGTTTGGCCTAGATGGTTCCTCTGTCTGATCCAGCAGGGCTCTTCTGCTTATGTTCTTTATACTGGGCATGGCACAACAACTTCCAATGCACCAAAAGGGCACAGCAACTTAGGGAATTGAGGCAAAATGTGGGGCAGCTGTTCTCACCCACAGCTCCTCCCACTTCAGGCAGCTGCTTTGCTCTTTCTAATGAGTGGACCAAGCCTAGATTTAACCTGCATTTCAGCTACGTATCAAAAACCTGAGCCCCATGAGCAGAATGGTGGGGAAGGCCACAAGATCTCCTGAAAACCCATGCCTTATCGTTAAGCTCTGGGTTGCTTTGGAAACACCCTCTTACTGCCATGAATCTTGCTGGGTTCAAACAGAACAACAACTTGCACAGTGCAAGGAGTATAGCGAAATTGTGTGGCATGTAACTGGCACACCCTGGATGAGGAAAAGTTGCCACTGTAGCTTCTTTTGCTGTGGTCTTGTGTACCTGGCTATAATATTTGCCTTTACAAATGGCTGACATTTAGCCCAAGCTCTGTAATGAAGTACTGAAAGATCACACGTAGGCATATACAACGAACCATTCCTAATTGTGGAATTCCATGGAAGGCCCTTTATCCCCTCTGCCAAAAACACAGGAACAGTTGTCAACTCCATCAATCCACAAAATCAAGAAGCTTCCCCATCCCCACAACTGTAGAACAAGCAACAGGAAAAGAATTCACAAATATGCCATGCCACATAAAATGTTAATGAGGCAAGGAGGGGATGAGAGATGCCATGCTTTTAAAATAGCATCTATGCCTCTAATCTGGTTATACTGAATCTACTACAGCATTTCTCCATTGATCTCTGTTGAGTGGTTTCGTTGCCCAGAGATAATTTTTTTGTACAGAAACTTTTTATAGAAATGTTGATTAGAGATAGGGATAAGTCTGCTCCATATCTCAAACGCTTAAAAACTCCCACCCACCTACCTCTTGTCTGGCAAGGTTAGGCAGGTCATCTACTTACCACAATATCCTCCAGGAATCGATATTTTTAATTGTGGTTGCTGAGGAAATTAGTTGCTTTTGTAAAATCTGATGTTGCAGATTTCAGACTGTTCTTAACAGGTTTTGTTGTGTGGCAGCAATAGCACTGGAAATAAAAGCTCACCTCTGAAATATTCGAGATCGTCTCAGTTTTTCTGAAGGCACCACATTCTTTCCCTGGCAATTGGAATGCTGTTGGCGCAAATACCATACAACACGGTGGCTGTGTGTTTACATCAAATTTTGCTTGCGGTTGGTGTAAAGTTCTTTTAAAAAAAGAGAAAGAGAGAAAGAAAATAAAGAAGGTTCCATTGGTCTTCAATGGACCATTGATAAGAGGATGTTTGTTCTGGCTCTCAGAATATCTGTACTGAATTGACTGCATATGCATTTGCTAAGGTCTCTCTCTCTCTCTCTCTCTCTCTCTCTCTCTCTCCTTGTATGAAAGTTGGTCCCTGTTGTCAGCCATCATTTGGTGACAAATATTTTCCAGCCCTTTATCAAATGACACTTCCTTTTTATAACCTACAAAACATCTTCTGAAAAAAGACTGATATGTTTTAACCCCATACTTTCCATAGCTCATGATCAAATCATAAATCATGAATTTCCTGTGAGCTTCTGAAACAGATTCTTCATTTCTATTGCACCGGCTGGATCCGTGAAACACTGCCAACACCAGTGCTTTTTTTGTTAAAAAAAAAAGAAAAAGGTGCCAGAACTCACGTCTTGGGGTCACACTTTTACACTAAAAAAGATTTTCAATTCACCAACTTTTTTTTGAAATAAAGAACTTATTTACCTTTTGCACATAGCCAGTCACTCTACACACACATAAACATAATGGTCGCTGCTGGCAGTAAGCACTCAGAGTGTGACCACACGATCAATCCCAAGCAGAGCAGCATCCCAAGCCGAGCAGCGCCCTCACAATCAGCACCGACACACAAGCAGCCCGCAGGCACTATGTTAATGATTTTTGCCGCCCACCTGCTACGCCCAACAGGGCGGTTCACAATCACTTGGAAAAATCCATCAAAAAAAGGTGACGGAACGCCGTTCTGGTGTGTTCTATGACAAAAAAAGCCCTGGCCGATACCAAGTGTTGATCTGGTCTCTATGATTCATCTGCTACTGGAGGTCATGAAGCAAGGTGAGCATAGAGCAGTTGCAAACCCATCAGCTCAAAAAGAGAAAATGTATCACTGAAAAAGAAGACAAAAAAGGACGCAGAATTAGTTTGCCAATGTATTGGCAAAGGTGCACATTTAGAAATATTGTCTATCATTTCATTATGATATAGTGCATCCACCCACTCGGGTGACCCAACCCTGTGCAGGCAACACAACCTGTTGTCTAGGTGCTGTTGACGGGTAACGTCAAGGCTTCTACTCTCTTCTTAAGGGTTCTTGCACTAGATGTAGTTGGAGCAGGGAGTTATACTGACTGCTGTAACCACACCTGAAAATGTCTTTGCTGGATCCAGAGATTTACCCCTTGGTCACCTTTCTGGGGGGATAGGGCATGGAGGCAAACCAGTTGCAGATGTTCTTGGAGGCTACTGGCTTCTTGAAGGCCCTTTCTGGTCTGGAATCTATGGGACAGAATCACCCTAATGGATGACCTTGACAACTACAGCAAGGGAGACAGAGTGTACAACTTTTTAGCCTTACTCAAAATCTGGGTGGCTGTTGCTATCATTGACCATGATGTTGGTTCCACTCCTATCTGCAGGGCAGAGTCCTGAGAGTAGCAGGACTATCCTGTGCGTCATCCCATAACATTTATGCTAGGAAGTACCATTAAGGATCACTTCACCTCCCATGCCATTGACCATACGTATGACACACTAATGTGCCATCATTGGGAGTTTTTAAGCAAGGTGTTACCAGGCCACTGGCTTTATTTGTCCATTTCATCAGAAGCTGGAGCATGACCTGGACTGGTGCTTAGATGCAGACTGGTGGGCTACATGATATGCTGAAGCTGTATTCTGATAAACTGTTACTGGGTCCAGGGCTTAGCGTTTTTACCTTTTCTGGATGCTAAGTGTACCTGGACAGCTACAAGGCCTCTTTTGCTCTCTCTTCTTATAGTTCTTTTTGACTTCAGGTCCGCCTTGGGGCTTTCTTCCTGAGGAGTTTAACCTACTTTATGGAGGCTTCTTTCTGTGTTTTCATTGTAGGGGGAAAAAGGCATCCATTACATCCCCTGCCCTGCACTGCCATTCACCTGAGGTTTGCATTTCTCTATCTCAGGAGACCTGCAATATCACAGGTCTGCGACTTTTCATGAAGCTTTTGTTCTAGTTTGTTGTGATTTGAGTTTTAGTAGCTGGCTTTCCTTGCACTAAGAATCACTCCAAAAATGGCTGGAGAGCATGGGAGAGGCCCCAGTGGACAAGAAGTCTGTGAAAAGGCAATGGTTGTGCAAACTTCTGTGTGTGAAGGGTCACAAGGACACAAAAAATGTTCATGTAGAGACAACCTGGACTGGGCACCCCTTTAAACAGAAAACATGTCCATATAGATGACTGACTTTTCCTAGTTCTAAAAAAGAGGTTTGTCCTATGTAAAGTAGGACACATGGCCACCCTATGATTCCCGAGAAAAGTTTAGGTATTTGGCATTGGGCAAATACATTTTTTATCTCCTCAATTTATAATCTGTGACAGAAGTGCTTTTTAAAACAATGCCTCTTTTACCTTAGCTGATACATCTTTCTTCTCCTTTTTAGTGTTGCTTTTTTAGGTTTCTATTGTAAGCCATCTTGGAATTATTTTTTCATGGAATTGAGGAATGGCAAACAAATAAACAAGTATTACTTAAGTAATTGAATTACTTAAATAATTGGGAACTGGCTTTCCCCATTCAACCTAATTAGGAGTATGCTGAATACTGCCTGTTTTGATTTTGGGGTCAAGCACAATGATTTGGGACAGGGAGGGGTTCCTCTTGCCATTGGCACATGTTGCATGGCTATGTATCCAAGATTCTGTTTTTTCTGGCTGCTGCTGAATTGGTATCATTTCTCCTCCTCCTGACTGATTCTTCCTTCCATTTGCTGGATTATGAAGCACAATGTGGTCAGGGAAGACATGGGGAAATGGGCCGATATTGCAAAACTCTGCAGCCAATCATGTTTGACTACAAGATACCACTGAGGATAAGGGATGACCATTAGAATGGATAAGTAAATGTTTTTACAAGGAGTGACAACTCTGAAGGCAGTGGATGCAATTTGAAGTATCCAATGCTTTTGTTTTTAGAAGAAGAGCTAGAAGTATTGGCAAAAAGGGGTATATTTGGCACTTCTGAGAATGTTTGTTAAAAGGTGCAGAACTTGGGCTCAGAATTAATTATGCGTGTACTTACTACTTTCCTTGGAAGTTAGGCCCATTATGTTCAGTAGTGCTTACGCACAGGTAAATCTACAAAGCATTACAGCCTAAAAATATGGAGTATCATAGAATCATAGAATAGTAGAGTTGGAAGGGGCCATGAAGGCCATCGAGTACAACCCCTGCTGTTGCAGGACACCACGTTACACCATCCCACTCAGATGGCTGTCCAGTTTCTTTTGGAATGGCTCAAGTGTAGGAGAGCCCACCACCTCTCCAGGCAGCTGGTTCCACTGTTGTATTGCTCTGACAGTGAGGAAACTTTTCCTGATGTCCAGCCTGAATCTGGGTTGCCACAACTTGAATTGATTATTCTGTGTCCTACACTCTGGCATCAGCAAGAAGAGATCTTGACCTTCCACTTTGTGACAGCCTTTGAGGTACTTCTAGGGGGGTATCATGTCCCCCCCCCCCAGTCTTCTCTTCTCAAGGCTGAACATGCCCAGTTCTCTCAATCTCTCCTCATAGGGCAGTGTTTCCAAACCCTGGATCATTTTTGTTGCCCTCTGCTGGACCCTTTCTAATCTTTCTAATTAGAAATTGGTCTTTAAACTGGGGAAGAGTTGATCTTGGAACATTTTTATGGACATTTAGGCTGCGATTCTGTGTACCCTGGTAGCAAGCCCCAATGATCTTTGTGGGACTTTCAGTAAGCAGGTGCAGGATAAAGTTTCATGGCCCTACATTGACACCAGGCCTTCTTCAAAGTAAACATTCTTAAGAACACAGGAACTTTTCACAAGTAACTCTACAAATGATAACTGAATTTCCTGTTATTGTAAATTGAATGAAAGAGCTACATTTGGGGTGGCCAAATATGAATTAGCTGAAAGGAGCACATTCATTACCAAAAAAGATTATAAAAGAGAACTGTAACCTCGCCAAGGGCTTCCTCTACCTGAGAGCTAAAATGAGTCAGAGTATAGAACACAGCATGTCCTATAATTGTCCCACCCTTCCAGGAAAACCTTGCCTAAAGCCATTCAGTTTGTTGGCCAAGGTTTTAGCTAATCTGGACCACCAAACACAGTAAAAGTACGGAGTAGATGGGATGCTACACTCTTTCAGCAATGGGGAAATGTGAGAGGAATAGTCTAAAGAGAAATGATAGCCAAGAGCTAAGCCAGGGTGTACATGCCCATTTGCTTAATTCCACTCATCAATGGAGCTTATTAACTGTTTAACTCATGGCCTGTTTTAGGGTTCTGTTAACCACAACAACACCCCATATTAGGTAAATCAAACCAGTATGTTTCTGGCATGTGCTGCATATTTAGCAAGTCATAGTTAACACTCACGCATGGTGTTCTAATCATAAAATGTACTTGGGCCATTTCTGATGTCAACTGAACTGTTATTTCCAAAAATTAAAAAAACCCTGCACTGCTCAATAGCCAGAGATCTCTGAGTGGTTTACAAAAGATTAAACAGTCATAAATACAACATAAAAACAACTTGCTTGAAAAAAACATTTTAAAACATTCAGACATCATAATAAAAACCTTCCAGGACTGGGTAAACTTCATCGTATACTGTTGAACTTCTGAGAACAAAGGAAGGTTTTAACTGGAAAGATGACAACATGACAAGTTTTTTGTGATGTCTTAGGATGCCAAGTGCTGTTGAATATTTGCCAGAAGAAAAAAAAAGTGTGTGTCTATCAGGGTTCACGTACATTGTTTTTTGTATGACTTTCTGCCCAATTTTCCAAAATCTCTGTCCATTGTTATGATACCTTAAGATATTTTAAGATTCACAGCACAAATACCACCATTCAGAAATGCCCTCCTTATACTGTGTATCTTTTCTCAGACATCAGACAGTGTTATTTGACATGCACATACCTAGTGTGCAAATATTTGTGCAAAACAACCTAGATTCTTTCTCTGGCAATGAATCACAATCATGTATTTGCCCTACTTCTCTTTGCAGCCATGAACTGAAATATTGTGTATTTACATTAAATACAGCTTTCCAG